AACCAATAGTAAAATTCTAAATATTTCATGAGGACAAATGCCAGGATTACAATTTGGACATACAAAAAGTCAACATTAAACTATGTTTATGAAACCATATTCAAACAATTCATAACATATACTTAAAATATGAAAAAAAAAACCCAAACAATATAATTTAAAACAAGAGAACACCCTCTTACAGCCCTTTTATTAAAAGCCTTCAGTCTTCAAAGCCAGTATGACTGACAAAGCCTTCAATCTCAATGGAAGGACAGCAAATATCAGGGTCTGGAGAGGCTCATAAAGGGAGATACCATCAGGTTGTTGTAGGTTTTTTCAGGCTATATGGCCATGTTCTAGAGGCCTTTTCTCCTGACGTTTCGCCTGCATCTATGGCAAGCATCCTCAGAGGTAATGAGACCTCATTACCTCTGAGGATGCTTGCCATAGATGCAGGTGAAACGTCAGGAGGGAATGCCTCTAGAACATGGCCATATAGCCCGAAAAAACCTACAACAATCCGGTGATTCCAGCCATGAAAGCCTTTGACAATGAGATACCATCCATTGGTGAGCCTGCCTATATGCTTGGACCTAAGTCAAAACCAGCATGATGGATTATCTGCCTGGAGATGACAGATTAGTAATTCAGTTTGTATTGGATGGAGTTACACTTTCTCTGAAGACTATTTTAACTAGCCCTGAAGCAAGATGGCAATAATCATTGTCTATTTTAATATAATAGCCTCCACTAGTGCAGCCGGTTAAACTGCTAAACTGCTGGACTTGCTGACCGAAAGGTCGGTGGTTCAAATCTGGGGAGTGGGGTGAGCTCCCACTGTTCGCCCCAGCTTCTGCCAACCTAGCAGTTCGAAAACATGCAAATGTGGGTATATCAATAGGTACTGCTCCAGTGGGAAGGTAACGGCACTCCATGCAGTCATGCTGGCCACATGACCTTGGAGGCATCTACGGACAACGCCGGCTCTTTGGCTTAGAAATGGAGATGAGCACCATTCACCAGAGTCAGACACGACTAGACTTAATGTCAGGGGACAACGTTTACCTTACTTTATTTTGTAGAGCGGACAACTACTTTACAAATAAGGCTGGTCTTTTTCGGCAAAGTATTTAGAGATTTTGCTTGGTGAGAATGGCAAACTACCAACCAGAACTGATGAGAAAAAATAACTTCATCAATTAATTACTTAATTAAACATGTTTAAATATGTGAGAGGAAGTCATAGGGAGGAGGGAGCAAGCTCGTTTTCTGCTTCCCTGGAGACTAGGATGCGGAACAATGGATTCAAACTACAAGAAAGGAGATTCCATCTGAACATTAGGAAGAAATTCCTGACTGTGAGAGCTGTTCAGCAGTGGAACTCCCTGCCCCAGAGTGTGGTGGAGGCTCCTTCTTTGGAGGCTTTTAAACAGAGGCTGGATGGCTATCTGTCGAGGGTGCTTTGAATGCGATTTTCCTGCTTCTTGGCAAGGGGTTGGACTGGATGGCCCATGAGGTTTCCTCCAACTCTATGATTCTATGATTCTACCATGGTTTTAATGAGTTTCTGGATGCAACACAAAGTGTTGCTGACGTTCTATAGCAAGGCTTCTTAAACCTTTCCACTTGTGATTGCTTTCCACCCAAATATTTTTATGTGACCCTGCATATATAGATAGTACTGTATATAAATAGGTAGAAAAGCCAGACATTGTCTAATAATAAATCAGCATTTGTAAGGTTTGCTAAACAGGCTGGTTTTCCTTTCGATTAAGTACAGCTGAAGCATTTTCTGCAGTGTCCACTGTAAATACTGCACAACAGATTCATGTAAATGTCCAAAACAGTCACTAGGTGGTGTTCAGAATTTTTTTTATTGTTGCCAACTATTTAGGGACCCCAAGATTGAGCAAAGGGGACCTTATTAGGGGATTGAGATGCACAGTTCAAGCAGCAGTGATCTATAGAGCCCTATATGAAATAAGATGAGGTGTTTTTGAAAGACCATATTATTCTGTATTTTATATATTAACATGTTTCTATTTTTCTTTATGTACAAACACACCAGAAATATGACAACAAATTGGTAATTCTAAGAAAACTATAGGTTATGTAGTGAAAAATACACCTTTGCCCCCCCCCCCCCCCAAGAATAAAATAGTCTTCTTAGTCTTCTTTTTTTTGGACACTATTATTGAGTGAGCACATTTCGGTTTCATTAGCAGGTTAAGATATAACTTTGGCCAATACTTCTGCATGCCAAATCAACTCCGCTGGACCAACTCCGCTGGACCGGCCAATCCACATGGACTGTCTACAGACGTCACATGCAACTTCTGGAACGATTCCAGCAGCGCTGCCTCCGGAAAATCCTGCAAATCTCTTGGGAAGACAGGCGGACAAACGTCAGCATGCTGGAAGAAGACCACCAGCATTGAAGCGATGGTCATCCGCCATCAACTCCACTGGACCAACCACGATGTCCGGATGCCCAACCATCGTCTCCCAAAGCAGTTGCTCTACTCCGAACTCAAGAACGGAAAATGGAATGTTGGTGGACAGGAAAAGAGATTTAAAGATGGGCTCAAAGCCAGCCTTAAAAACTCTGGCATAGACACTGAGAACTGGGAAGCCCTGGCCCTTGAGCGCTCCAGCTGGAGGTCAGTTGTGACCAGCAGTGCTGCAGAGTTTGAAGAGGCACGAATGGAGGGCAAAAGAGAGAAATGTGTCAAGAGGAAGGCGCGTCAAGCCAACCCTGACCAGGACCGCCTTCCACCTGGAAACCGATGCCCTCACTGTGGGAGAAGATACAGATCAAGAATAGGGCTCTACAGTCACCTACGGACCCATCACCAGGACACTACACTTGGAGGACCATCATCCTTGGACTACGAGGGCTCGCCTAAGTAAGTAAGTAATGCCGAATCAAGTAACCATGTATGCTGATGAGGACAAACACAGGCGGGTCCAGGCCTCACCCAGCAAGGCTATCTCAGGTAAGCTAAGAGAGGGGAGAGGCCCATTTCTTGGAAAACATACTTGAACCATAAATCCTATACACTGTTAACATACACTTTCCATATATCTCCATCTTAAACACAGTAATGCAAGTGTTATTTGCTTAGTCCATTACGTTATGCAGGCACTATAGTTTTTTCCCATCGCATCTATACCTTGAACCTAGCCTTCTTTAAAGATAATAGTTCTTGTTACCTCTTGGGTAATTTTTCCTAATCCTAATTTTTCCACACATTCAAACACAGTCTAAGCTTTTATGCTGTGTTATGGCAAGGAGCCCCCAGTGGCGCAGTGGGTTAAAGCACTGAGCTGCTGAGCTTGTTGATCAAAAGGTCGCAGGTTCGATTCCGGGGATCGGCGTGAGCTTCCGCTGTCAGCCCTAGCTTCTGCCAACCTAGCAGTTCGAAAACATGCAAATGTGAGTAGATCAATAGGTACCGCTCCGGCGGGAAGGTAACGGCGCTCCATGCAGTCATGCTGGCCACATGACCTTGGAGGTGTCTACAGACAACGCTGGCTCTTCGGCTTAGAAATGGAGATGAGCACCAACCCCATGACTGGACTTAATGTCAGGGGACTACCTTTACCTACTATGCTAATAATATTACTGAAAAGGTTAGAGCAGGCATGAGCAAACTGCCCTCCATGTGTTTTGGACTTCAACTCCCACAATTCCTAACAGCCTGGTAGGCTGTTAGGAATTGTGGGAGTTAAAGTCCAAAGCACCTGGAGGGCCAAAGTTTGCCCATGCCTGATTTAGACTATATGCATTCTTGTTCATAATCAATGCTGGCTGAAATTAGTGATTACCTGAAGATGTAGCCTGAACTGTAACAAACAGAAACGTTGATGTACTGATAAGGCAGGGAAATATAAAGTCTGGACATTGTCACTGCTTAATGGTCACAGGAATGTACAGTCACATTAATTTTATTGTATACTGTACATTAACCTTTCTGTATCTGAATATATCAACCATAGCAATCCATTAGGCTGGTCCCAGCCATAAGATACCACAAAGCATTGCACTCTTTTTAAAAGAGATACCATTAAAACAGGAGAATTCACATTTTAGGGACAAGTTGAGTATCTCTTATCCAAAATGCTTTGGCTCGGAAATGCTTAGGGATTGTTTCAATTTTGGAATACCGTATATACTCGAGTATGTTACAGTAAGTCGTAGCAGGATCAAGTGTGTGTGTTAAAGAAAAACCTTATGACGTTAATTATTATGTGCAGCTGGTAATGTAGGTCAGCCAGCATGTTTGAGCCACACCTGGTGGAGTATAACTGTATGGATTTTAGACTATAGTTTGGAGAAGCAATATGCTATAATGCTGCTATGCTCTAACAGCGATGCTCTTTGCTATGGTGGAATAGCTATTTACTAGGCATGTGCAATCCATGGTTCTAAAGTACTTACAAAACTAAAGTTCTGGTGGTGAAAACTAGGGGGCGCTGGTGCTTTGCTCTACAGTGTTGCTAAAGTTCTGGTGGTGAAACTTTCAGAACTCTAACACAACTTTCAAAATTTCATTATAAATGGCAGTTCCTAATAGGTTCTGTCATAAAAATCACCAATAATGAAATAATGAAATTTTGAAAGTTTTGTTAGAGTTCTGAAATTTTCACCACTAGCTGTCTTCGGAAGGGAGTGGAGGTACTTCAAGTCCCATCATCCATGGTCTGTCCTCCTCAAAAGTGCACCAGGATGTAGAGTGGGTCATGGGGACTCTGTGTGCCAAGTTTGGTCTGTATTGGTAATTGTCTGACCCAGCCCCCTCTGGCCTTTTCCTTTCCTCTCTTTGTCATCTCGGAATCTTGGAATTGAGGCTGGCCAATCAGAGAGCATATGCAAATTTCCTTCTCATGTCCCCATTTCTCTCATGAACTCTTTTCTCCACCAGGGGCTCCTATTGAAGCTGGCCAATCAGATACCATATGCAAATAGCACCACAGCGGCAGCCAATCAGAATGCGGGCACATACTCCTCCCGCCACAATTTTAAAACATCTTTATTGAATTTGTCAACTGCAATGAACAATCTTCCTGCAACTTCCTCAAAACAGAATGGTTCTAACTATAAATACTACAATTTACATATAGGAAAGTTGAGTGTTTCTCTGTTAATAGAGAAGGGGTGCAGAAGCATTCCTGACTAAAATACAAATTCATATTAATGAGAAAGAAAATGGTACCCTCTCAAGTTGTGATTGTATACTTCTAGGTTTCCAGTTGTCCAGGTATAATCAAACAGAACAAAATCTTCCATATAGTCTTCTTTATATTTACAAGGATCCACCCAGGAATGTGTTAAGATGCATAATTTCACATAAGGCCCTTAAACATAAGAATGTCAACAAATTCTGCATTTTATCAGCAGTTTTGTTACCAGTAATACCGTCCTACTGAAGTCAGTCTTTTAAAGAACTTTCCTGCTTGACTATTTCACAAGGTAGGCTTTAGACATTGGAGGAGGGAAACCTTTGGTATAATGCAGCAAACAGGAGATTCTGGTAAGTAATTCAAAAATCTTCGAGTCATTTTTCATAAATTCTTTGAACGAGCATATACTGTAGCAAAAGTATGAACAGCAAGTCTTGTGTTTGAACCACCATCAAGAACATTACAAGATGAGATGACAGACTGCAGCGCCTGGGCATATGCTGAGAAAAAGAAGGAAACAGCATTAGGTTCGGTATTAACTTGAGTTGGCCGAGAAAGGTGGGTGGGGAGATATACGAGGAATGGAAATAGAACAAGAGGCTTCAAAACAGATATAATGGAAAAACTTTTTTCTGCCCCTATCATTAACATAAGTCACTGATTCAGTATGATAATTTGGCATGTGTTTTTAAAGTACAGGTATTGTAACTACTTTGCCATGCTCTGAATGGAGAATACCAACAAGTTTCACAAAAGAATCTTTGTCTATAATGCACATTTGCACATTGAGGATTTGTACACTCTTGTGTTCCAATTGCAAGGACTCTGAATAGCAACATTCCTTAGTTGCTTACAATCATCCAGGATCACAAAGCTTTAATGCTTTTAGATAGGCCACAATTTGCCACAGTGTTGAATGTCTTGAAACTATCGGAAACCTAATCCTTGCTGCTTGAAGATATTCTTTACTAGCCGTCCCCTGCCACACGTTGCTGTGGCCTAGTCTGTGTATAAGGGTTTTGTGTGTGTATATATTTGTGTGTTTGTGTATATATATGTGGTTTTGCACATGTATTGTAATATTATTTTGGCTTTTAAAGTCTCTTCTGATGTATTTTTCAGTGTTTTAATGAGTGATTGTCATGCGTTGGCCTGACAGGTGTGTTGTGTCCAAATTTGGTGTCAATTCATCCAGTGGTTTTTGAGTTATGTTAATCCCACAAACGAACATTACATTTTTATTTATATAGACTAGCCGTCCCCTGCCATGCATTGCTGTGTCCCACATGGGGGTTCTGTGTGGGAGGTTTGGCCCAATTCTATCGTTGGTGGGGTTCAGAATGCTCTGTGATTGTAGGTGAACTGTAAATCCCAGCAACTACCACTTGCAAATGTCAAGATTCTATTTTCCCCAAACTCCACCAGTGTTCACATTTGGGCATATTCAGTATTCGTGTAGAGTTTGATCCAGATCCATCATTGTTTGAGTCCACAGCGATCTCTGGATTTAGGTGAACTACAACTCCAAAACCAAAGGACACCCTTCCAGTATTTTCTGTTGGTCATGGGAGAACTGTGTGCTAAGTTTGGCTCAATTCCATCGTTGGTGAGGTTCAGAATGCTCTTTGATTGTAGGTGAACTATAAATCCCAGCAACTACAACTCCAAAATGACAAAATCAATTTTTTTGAGTGAAGGACATGCATTGGGTTGTTAGGTGTCTTGTGTCCAAATTTGGTGTTAATTTGTCCAGTGGTTTCTGAGTTCTGTTAATCCCACAACCGAACATTACATTTTTATTTATATAGATGTCGTTTTAGGACATTAAAAAGATATTAACTTATCCAGTTACTTTTCAAAAGAGTAGCTTCCCAGCTAGTGTAGATTGAGAACTCTTTAGTTTAAAGCAATCTGCCACTCTTATCCACAGATTTAATATTCAGTTTAATTAATCCATGCTTCAAAAAATATCCCCTACCCACTCCAAACGCATTTCTGACCTCTCTCTAAGTCAGCCAGTGCAATCTTATGGAATGTTTCTAGTCCAGGTAGTTAAAATATAGTGATTGCTACTATCCACAGTTTCAGGTATTCACAGGGTGACTTGAAACGTATCCTCTGTGGATATGGGGATTGTACAGCAAAATATTTCTGATGTTAGGCGTTGACACTGGGTTAACAACTGTCATAATAATAACTTCCATAATTTTATTCTTATACCCTGCCACTATCTCCCCAAAGGGACTCAGGGAGGCTTATATATGGCTCAAAATGCCCACAAAATATAAAAGCAAAACAATCAATTAAAACAAAAACACAATTAAAATAAGAGCATAATAAAATATAACATATAACTTATCAAGAATCTGTGGAAAATCCCAACACAGAAAATTACACTAGAATGTCATGCCTGAGAATGAAGCACAATCAAAGCACTCCATAAATGGAGATTAGAAAGGGATTTTTTTTAAAAAAATCTTAACTTCCAGAATTCATTATGTTCTTTAGTGGATTCTGGGAACTGGGCACAACAAGTAACTTTTTAAAACTCTCAATGTGGCATTTCTGCAGACTCCACAATAAATCGTACCTTTCATATTTATAAGCAGAATACCATTGGCACTTCTCAGCTTATCAAGGGGCTGTTATTATCACAAAAATATGCTGGTATTTGAATCCATGCAAGGAATGCTCAACTGCTATTAGCAAGAAGGGAGTAATGTGGACTTCAAGAGGGCAGTCGGGTACCTTTGTGATTTTTATAGAACACACAGTTGTTGGCGCAACTATCTGGATGAGAGTCCCAGAAATCTGACCCACAGAAGCACAACGGAGGCAAATTGATATTGTACATTTCGATTTTCTCCCGCATTTGGGCACGTAGGGCTTCTGCATATCTAAAAAACAAAACACAGGCAAGAGGAACTCACTTCGACATCCCTGTTAAGGACAGGCTGCTATAGCAGAACAAGGTTGATAGCCAACCCACCACAACAAACACAACAAACAAGGAGCACTGTTGCATCTTAATAAAAATCCGATGTCTTTCAGATGATCTGAAGGACAATTCACATAACCTACAGTCAGCCTGGTGCATGGGGAAAAGAAGGGAAAATATATAGAGAAAAAATATGGGATGTAATCAGGCAAGGAACAGACAAGATGTTCTGCTGCAATTGGTTCCGGGAGAATATTAAAAATTAACTAGATATTGTTAATTACAAAAATGTAAGTCAAGCACTGAAAGAGTTAAATGGATGCAATGATTCAGCAAAAGCTGAAGTTCTATATAAGCCCGTGTGCCTGTAGCTTAGTAGCCATCAGTCTGAGATAAATCTCAGTGGAAGAAAGGCCTTAGTTGGTGAGAGAAGCCTCTGTGTGCTGGGTCATGCTGCTCCTAATAAGTTACTCTGCTATACATTCATGAGGAGGGTATTTTGTTAGTAAGCCTACTCGTCCAACAAAGGCAAGATGAAAGAACTGCATGGAGGAACAAGGAATCCTATTAAAGCTCAGCTGAAACCACTCGAACCGTTGCCTCAGAAGAACTTAAACCAAATTCCTAGACATCTCTTTTTCCAATGGCAGCAAATAATGAAAACGGTAGTTCAAATTATTTGGAGGTCTTCAGTTAGGAAAGGTTGCCTCATATCTATTAGGACATAAACTTTTGTGAGCTAAAATCTAGTTTGTGAAATATGTGCCGTGCTATCTTTGGTGGATGTTCATATTTTAAAAAGACCAAGAAATGTAATAGGCAATCTGCTATATTTCTACTTATTTTAAAAGTGCAGCTTTAAAACCATGGTAAAACAGTTTAAAAATCCCCAACATAATTAAAACCACAAAGGAAGAGTAAACCAAACAAATGCAACAATCCAATAGGCCAATAACCAGTGGTCTTCAAAAGTTTGGCAAAACATCTGAATAATGCCTACTGGGCCTATCAGTGGAAGGCATTTGTAACTATATTGTCAGTGGTGAGAAGGCCCTCTCATTCAAGTGTTGGTGGGATGAAGGAGCCTGCTCTCAAATATATAAGACGTATAAGACGTATTTCTTATCTAGTACTGATGTGGGATTATAGCTGTCAGGAAGAAACATGGTTTACTACATTTCAGCTACTTTTGCTGTGGTGTTTCCCATCAATGCAGTGTATCTTATTTCTGTACATAATGTCTAGGACAAACAAGAGAAGGCTCTTGCCTTCCTGGTGCATCTCCCAAAACCTTTAGTTGGCCACTATAATAACAAGAGACTGGGACAAATGCACATTGATCTGATCCAGCAGGATGTATAAATTATGACCTTACTTCTTACATCTGATATTTTTTGAACATTTGTTCCAGCTTACCGCGCATATTCCTTATTCCGTCGCTGTTTTTCCATGATGCCTTTCCTCTCTTCTGTGTCTTCTAGTTTAAGCTGTTCCAATTTTTTACAAGCCTTTTCCCTGGAACTTGCATCTCCCTGGGAGAGCATTTCCTGTGTCACTAGTTCTTTTGCCTGTTGCTTCTCCATGATCTTCTGTTCCTCTCTATGGCGTTGTTGCTCTTTTCCTCTCTTTATTCTGTAGGCAGAAGAGTAATTTTGTTCAATCTTTCAAAAAAAAAAAAAAAAGCCACTTGCTTAAACTACTTAAAAAGGAATTAGAAGCTGACCACAATGCAGACTCACTCCTGATGTTAAGAACCATGTGAAATAAACTGATGATAGTAAACAGTGGTTCAGAAAGCATTCTTATGGTTTCAGCATTGTAAGCCTGGAAGGGAACAAAGTGGGGCAATGATTTGAACACCGAGCTCCAACTCTGGGGAACGGTCACCATCTGACCATAGAAACCCAGTATTTTGTTTTGCAATACTATGTTTCACATTAAAGTAACTTTCGTCTTTTATGTAGTTTTAATTTATTACAGTAATAAATTAGCCTTTTTCCTGGCTAGCAATCTACATAAAAACAAAGGACAGTGTGAAGTCTTGGTCTAGTTTTTACTCCCCTCTCTTTGCTCCCTGGAGTTGGACTGTTCCATTCTGCTAAGTTTTAGAGTGGGAGCTTAGGCTCCCCTTATAGGCCCACACCTTTGGGTCAGCCCATTCTGGCTCATAGCCTGGTGGAAGGACTTTTTGGACATAGTTTTTAGTAGTTAGCCAGAATGTGTCTGGTCTGGCTTAGCAGTCTGAACAGGCCATCCTTAGCACATATTTGCCTCATAAAATAGCTATATTTGCCATTTGGATTAGAATATATTTGCCTTAGAGTCTATAGATTATAGTATATGTTATAAAGAATAGTTGTATTTACCTCATAGAATATAGTTGTTGTTACCTCAGAGTTATTCTTTATACCTGTTCCTTATTTTTCTAATTCTATACCATCATAATCAAACTGCACCTTTGTATACCTTGTTTTGATTCATCATGATTGTTTAGTAAACTTAATTGGTGAATTTTAGTCTTGTCTCTAGAGTTTTATTTTGGGGGAATTAAAGTACATATAGGGCATACCGATGGTCACTGGGAAAATAGCCAGACACATATACTTTTCCCTTAATCTTCCCGGTTGTGCCATCATAAACAGCAAAACACTTATTAATAAACACATAGTTGAAAGTCTCACTGAATCTCCAGAATTTTAACAATTATACTCCAAAAGAAAAATACAGATCCAGGCTGTCAGAAGATGGGAGGTAGGGAAATAAACCGTGAACTAGGAAGCTCTTGTTTCAACATTGGCTAGCTAATTTCTGATTAGACTTTTTGCAAGCTACATTTGCAATGGGCCCCCTGGTGGTGTAGCAAGTTAAACCACTGAGCTGCTGAACTTGCTGACTGAAAAGTTGGTGGTTTGAATCCAGGGAGCGGGGTGAGCTCCCGCTGTTAGTCCCAGCTTCTGTCAACCTAGCAGTTTGAAAACATCAAATGTGAGTAGATCAATAGGTACCGCTTCTGCAGGAAGGTAACGGCACTCCATGCAGTCATGCCGGCCATATGACCTTGGAGATATCTATGAACAATACCAGCTCTTCAGCTTAGAAATGGAAATAAGCACCCTCCCCCAGAATTGGAAATAACTAGACTTAATGTCAGGGGAAACCTTTACCTTTTACACTTGCAAGACCTCATTCCCCTCACTTCATACACAACACATCCTTTCTCCACTGTTTGAGGTAACATTACCTTAGAAGAGAGGCCTAAAGATGACTGAGATAATAGTTCTCAATTATTAGGAACAGCACAATTTGAAAATTATTTGTTCAAAACTGCATAATGTTACTTAATTTACACGTAGGATTTCTACCACACTTTGGCCCCAAACTAACAACTATTAACTTATCACAAAGAGAAACAGAATATTTTATTATTCTGTTTAATACAAACAAGAAACAGTAAGAAAGCTCAAAGAATAACCATCAAGAAAGGTATCCACAGGAGAAAAATATGTAAAAAGCATAGTAAACAAACGTTTCCTGGAAATAGAAATGAGTGTGATAATACTATCAAAGGTTATTAACCTGATTTAAATAACTTGTTGATTGTTTCAAAAATGAGAAACACAACTCCATAAAGCAAACATTTAGTGTGAAAATAGGATAGATGGCAAATGTTGAACAATATTTTTAAAATAAACATTCAAGAAAAGAAGTAACACAAAATTAGAAAGATACCGGTATACATCTACGTCATATAAAAAACAAGCTTATTAGAAAAATAAATGAACCAGACAATACTATTCAAGGGTGTTAACCTAAATCCTCCCATAAGGGTGTTCCAGGTATTACATATCACCAATTTAAATTGGTTTCTAATTGTTTCCAGGAAAAAAAATAGATAAGCTCACGGGCAATTAGCTTTAAGAATGAAATGAGGCGTCAGTATATAGAAGAAGCACGCCTCCAAATACAAGTTTCAAAGGGATAGCTATACCTCTCACACCCTGTGTTGTAGGATAGTATTGCAGAATAAGATGTGACTTCTAGTCTGATCCAATAGGACAGGTATGGGCAAACCCAGGCCTGGAGGCTGGATGTGGCCCCTTGGGCTCTTTTCTCAGGCCTTCCTCTCTCAGCATCCTATCCTTCCTCTCTTCTCTCTTCTCCAAATAGATACATCCTGTGTTCATGTCCAGCATTTATTTTTAAAGTTTTAACTATTACATTTGGCCCAGCCATACGTTTTTAAATTCTTGTGTTTATTGTCTACCTGTGAGTTATATTAATTGTACTGTTTACTTTGATTATTGTTTGTTATTTTATTACTGCTCGCTGTTTTGATGCGGTGTTTGGGCTTGGCCTCATGTAAGCCGCTCCGAGTCCCTTGGGGAGATGGTGGCGGGGTATAAATAAAGCTTTATTATCAATATCATTATCATTATTATTTCCTTCCTTCTTCCCTCCCTCCCTTCTTTCTTTACCTCCCTCTTTCTCCCTCATTCCCTCTCTGATAGCGAGAGTGAAATCCCACACGGCCAGGTGGAGGATCTGTCCCAGCTGGACCCAAATAAGGGGTTGCATAGCCTTGCGGAAAATGAGCAGGCAAAATCGTTTGCAATTAAGGCTTTGGAGAAGCACTTGCTTGGCTAGCAAGCGAGAAGCCAAAGGTGTCCAAGGTAAACACAATGCTTTCATGTTCGCAAAGGGTATTTAGTCTTGTAGCTGACAGGCAGTTGTTGTCAGTCCAACATTGCTCTTCTCATGTTAACTTCTGGAGATTTTCCTTGGCTTTTCGCAGCATGCTTCTGGCTTCCTGAGTCTGGGATTTGGGTCGTGTTTTCAACTGTTTTCCATGGACTTTTGTTTGACCATTGCTAAGGGATTATGTTTCATGTTTTTCCCTTTGGATTTTGGAAACTTTGCCTTTACATTTAAGTCTGTTTTGCCTATGGAACTTTTGCATTTCTATTTCTTTGTTTTGATTTTGCTTTTCTCAATAAACTACAAAAACCTACAGCCTTGGTGTGGTGGTGTCTGGAGCAAGGTGAAAACTACCCTGAGTTGCAACACCCCCTTCCTCATGGCCTGCACACCCACCCCACCCCGGCCCGCCATGCGGCCCCCAAGTTAGAAAGTTTGCCCATGCCTGCAACAGGACCTTCTCCTATGAAATACATAATACTACCTTATAACCTTTGCTAGCTTTCTGAGACAAAAGCTGTTCAAACCGAGAGGCAAAGTACAAGAGTTTTTAAAAAGGGAAGCATATTTACTTAAGCAAGATACACTGCCAAAGAAAGGTGACATCCACCTGATAGCTCTCTTCTCCCCCTCCATCAATCTCCTTGAAATTAAATATTTGTCCAGATTTTACTACAGCACCATAAAGGTTTCACTAGGACATGTCTGTGGGAGCAAGGGCAAGTTGGTACTAAAGAACCTCCTGAAGAAAATTGCCTCACTCCTATGCTTGTGAAGAACTCAACAGCAAAGCAAGTTCGAACAACTTCTGGAAAACAAGAATCTATAATGAGAGAAGAATCTGAAATCACAGGTGTTTATGAGTGCAATGAGCTCCTATACTTTAGTATGGATTTTAAAAAAATATTTTTTTCAAATAAAGCCATGAAAATAAACTGCCTTTGAAAACTGGATTGGCTTGAAAATAAAACAATAAAGCGGTATTAAAATGCGAGGTGAAATGATCTGCAATTCCCTCACTCACTGTTATGTATGAACGTGACCAAAGACCAAACAGAAGCATTAAGCTTGGACACATTACAAGGCTGCCTGAAATGACAGGAAGTTGCTCTGAAGAGTTTCCATTGAACTACATACCTTGAAAAACTAGGTTCATATTTTACTTGTTTTCAGTTTCAGCATATTTTTCTAAACTATTGTCTCTAATAAATTAAAGGATGACAATACATAGAATACGCACTTCTCCATTTTTCTTTGACATTCCTTCTGTCTTTGTTGCTCCTTCACTTGCTCTCTTTCAATATCCATGAAGAGTCGCCTGTATCTTAGGTACTGATTTTGACGCTATAGGGAAAAAAAAAGAGTTTCAAACTAGTGTTAAGTAAAACCTGGAATTGGCACTGAAAATTATCACTGTTCAAATGCTACACAGCATCTCTCCGCTACTGTTCCATTGGGCTACAGTGATGTTGCCTTTCCAGGTCCTTTGTCACTGATTCATCTTAGACCGGCCACTACTTGACTCTTCCTTTTAGTGTGTGTATCTGTAGTGTTTTGCTGTGTTTATGTATCGTTTTATAACCTGCCTTGAGCCATGAGGAGAGGCGGGTAATAAATAAATAAATAAATAAATAAATAAATAAATAAATAAATAAATATAATTCCTTTCCCAGAATACTCACCTGCATTTGGCTGTTTCATCTACACATTGTTGGAAATAGCAACCTTCCAAGCCTTCACTATTTATTTGTTAATGTATATAACTTGTATTGTATGGATATATTGATTTGCCAGTATGACTGATCTCTTTGGTGTGGGAGGGGCTACAGACATGTGATTGTACTGAGCATGTTCAGACTCAAGACTCCATTTTGTTTGTGAGTATGCTTTTCGACTTTGGACTATTGATACCCTGTATTCTCAACAGAGAAACTACATCTTATCTATAGATGAACTTTAATAAGAATCGAGTGCCTTTATGCGGAATTAATATAAAATGTTTATGAGTAAACAAGATGATACTTTTTAAAGAAGACTTTGTTTTTTTGTCTATGAGTGAATATTTTTAAAGTAAGAGATTTCAAGGGAGAGTATATGTTTGGGGCAACTGCAACTGTAGTTTCAACTTCAATTTCAAAGAAACATTTTCAAAACTCTGCTAGATAAGTATATGTTTTTTGTGCAGTGGCATCTCTTTGTCCCTGGCAGTTCAAAGACAGGGTTTATCAGTTTAACAGCTGAGTTACCTATGTGCCATTACATGAATGTTTGTGAACATTACTTTTTCAAAGGACTGACTTCTAACAAGGTCATGACTTTCCTTGACTAGTGGTTTTCAAAATGTGGTCTCCAGATGATCACGGAGATTCACATATGCAAAAAGGATATGACATCAGTTCTTCTTTTTAAAAAAGGTTATGAAAGCCATTTTTTCAAAACACATGAAACAGTTATATTAATATCTGACAAATCTGCTCATTTTTCCATTGCCCTCTACCCCTTGGTACACCTGTGGCCTTAACTTTAACTTATTTGTTGTAATGTCTAAAGCCTTTTTCAAATCCTTAACAGATTAACCAGTCCACAAACACTTAATATAAGATTTTGTTAATGGTCTGGTGTTTCAAAGAGTCTGTAATGTCAATGAGGAAAGACTCCTCTTGCATTTCTCCTGTACATTTTATCTTCCAGTTTGATGAGAACTTGCTAGAGCTGGTTATTTTCTGTCTTCCAACCTTACAAGACATGCTTATAGAACTCAAAAAAATGGTTACACATCCTCTGCATGCTGCAATTGGAGTAATAACATTACAAGTCACTGTTACACTTCACTAAGAAGGAACAGACACTCCTCTGTCAGTGATTAAGTCACTACTATGTGTTTTGCTAAACCCCAATTCATGATAACCGAATGTTCAGAAAAGCATCATTGTGCATTTGTTTACAATTGAATAGAATTTGTAACTATAACTGTTTAGTATCACATTTGAGATGCTACACAGTACCATCTCATTGCTTGTTCTGTATATATCTTTTACAGTACACAAACAACTTTTTAAGATACATATGGCAGGAGCTGAATTCGGGCCCAATTACAATAAATCCAGCTGTCCAGTTGAACAGATGCCTCCTGGTCTAAAGAGAGCCACAAACCTAGGGATTAAGGCTGTGTTCAGGAGGAATCAGATGTTTGCATTAGGATATAGCTGTAAAATTGCCTTTCAGTATTAAAACGTTCAACATCTTCTACACAGTATGTGATACAACAGAATTAGCCACCATATTCCCTAAAACAGCCATGGCTGTTAAAAATTGTGGGAGTTGAAGTCCAAAACATCTGGAGGGAGGGATGAAGTTTGCCCATGCCTGCCTTAAAGGGTCATACCTGCTTCTTCAATTCTTCCGTCTCTCTTCCAGGCCAAAGTATCTGAGGAGACCAAGTCTTGATGCCAGATGCCGAATAGGCCACTGGGCAGGTTCCTTTCAGTATCTCACTATTAACCTACACAAGATGAAGACACCAAGAAACAAGGCTTGTCAAAAATACATGAGCTGGGAACCCATGAGTACTGCTACTAATTAAAAAAAAACTTGTCCCGCTAGACCTGTTTGGTTGGAGAAGCCTTACTTTTTTAAACTCTATGATATAATCCACATCCTTTCTCCACTGCTCTTGTTCTTGATCTTGCAGTTCTGCAGGAAGGTCATGGTGTCCTACAAGAAGAAAATCTTCACCTTCTGCATTTATGGAGGTTTTCTTGCAAGATTCTGGCAACTAAGACAGATACAGGAATTATTTCCAAAGTCTGTGTATTGCAAGAGCTTGTTTGATGAGACACATGTGCACGTACGTAAATGGTTTCAATAATGTGTCAAAATAGAATGTATATATATGCTAACTAAATACAAATACAAGGTAACAGGAGACAGGACTTGAATCTTGCCTCTGTTTTGGGATGTATCTTGACAACAGATCCATGTCAAAAAAAAGGTAAAGGTTTCCCTTTGACATTAAGTCTAGTCATGTCCGACTCTGGGGGGGGGGGGGGTGCTCATCTCCATTTCAAAGCCGAAGAGCTGCCGTTGTCTGTAGACTCCTCGAAGGTCACACAGACCAATGTTATCTCTTCCATTGGAGGCTTTTCTTTATAGCAAAATAATATGGTTGCGCTATTTATAAGAACAAGGTTTCCATGGCACGAATAAAGTTCAACTTTCACACTGGAGCTTCACACACAAGGCCTTCTCATACTGAGGCCTACCTCACACAGAGGCCTTTCTCCCACTGAGGGCTCTCTCAGACTGATGTCTCTCACACACTGAGGCGAACTAACACTAAGGCCTTCTAATACGCTTAGGTCCTTCTCCCACAGAGACCTCTCACAGATTGAACTAACAACGTCAAGTTAAAAAATCCCAAGGAAGTGAAAAAAGTAATAAGGAAGCATGGAGAGCTAAACTCTTCTGTAGATACTACCTGATCTTCTCAAACATGCAACAAATTCAAAACGAACAGACTAGAAGATTAGAAGCACCACTATTGGAAAAAAAATATCTTTAAAAAGCTGCTGGCTAGGGAAACACGTATTGAAAACTTAAGTGTCCCTTTTGTCAATATGGTATTTTAAATCTATTCTATCCAGGTTGCACCATAGCACTGCAACCTCCAACTGCAACAGTTATAATAAGAAGGGTGAGTTCACATTCTTACTTTCACCTTACTACTACAAGTTGTATAAGAGTAGATTATTGTGAGATAATACTCTCATCGCTGCAAGCAATCACCTAATAGGGAGAGATAAGGCAACACACATATTTGGAATAATTTAAGTGGACTGTTTGAAAAATCATATATTGTCAAACTTCACATACACCTGATGGGAAGAGGTAAAATCCTCCCATCTTGTGCTCTGGGCTTTTGAACATTTGCTATATTTTTAAGGGCATGTGTTTTTAAAAACGATTGGCCTGAACTGCATTGTTAAACTTTTTTTCTATTTGCCACAATTGCATTGCAGATGTTATATATTTTGATCAAAATATAATGCAATACAGTGGTGCCCTTGCTTCCTCTCTGTCCCCTCTGTGCCTCAGTCTTCTCTGTTGATTTCCTGTTTCTTAGGCCTGACTTGTATTTTTACTCTTGACTGGTTTAGAACCATTAACTCAATGAGATTTACCTTTCTGTTGACTCATTATCCACCAATGATTCAACAGGTCTACTAAATTTGGAACTAACCAATAAAATTCCACCCATTATTTACTACAATTATTTACATTTCAACATTGAGGACAAGTGTTCTTTCAAGGTAAACTTTATTTCACTTTAAATAATAAATAAAATAAAATATTTGAATAAAACCAATGTTTTTGATACAAGTAAGGCAGACTATCCAACCACAGCAGGCATCTGAGCTCAGAATAATAATAATAATAATAATAATAATAATAATAGCTTTATTTGTACTTCGCTACCATCTCCCCAAGGGACTCGGTGAGGCTTACATGAGGCCAAGCCCACAGCACATCAATAAACGACAAATAATCAATACAAAACAGTTAAAATAAAATAAAATAAAATACTCAAAAACAAAAATACACAATAATCAATATCAATAACAATAACATACATAGCATACATAGCATTTAAAAACCAATGGCCGGGCCAAATGTAATAATTAAAATTTAAAATGCTGGGCATGAACAAGGTAGGTAAGCTAGGATAGGCTTTTCAAAGAAAGATGAGGGTGCGCAGACAATCCTAAATCAATATTAAAGTGCATTTGAGGACATATTGCTAAGACAACAAAGTCAAATGAAGAAGATTGACTTTTATCATCACCTCTTTATTTGGACCGCTTTCCCAAGGACCTCCTGGAAGTTCTGGAGGAAGAGCATCTGATGCAGCTTTTCGTGAAGCAAGTTTGTGACGGATAGTCTGCTGCACAGTCTTCGTAACCTGCGGAAAAATATATAAAATGACAGAAAGAACTTAACTTAAAAAATGGGCTGACACTTGCTTGTTCATCTGTTTCAGAGAAACAGGTAAGAAACATTCATACTGAATATTTTGTTTGGTGGAAAGTCAAAGAAGACAATACTACAACTGATATTAATCTGCATTTAATAAATAAAATTAAATCGCTTTTGCAATTTCCCACTTGCATTATTTGACTTGATGTGCCAAGATGAATTAGAATCATAGAATCAAAGAGTTGGAAGAGACCTCATGGGCCATCCAGTCCAACCCCCTGCCAAGAAGCAGGAATATTGCATTCAAATCACCCCTGACAGATGGCCATCCAGCCTCTGTTTAAAAGCTTCCAAAGAAGGAGCCTCCACCACACTCCGGGGCAGAGAGTTCCACTGCTGAACAGCTCTCATAGCCAGGAAGTTCTTCCTCATGTTCAGATGGAATCTCCTCTCTTGTAGTTTGAAGCCATTGTTCTGCGTCCCAGGAAGCAGAAAACAAGCTTGCTCCCTCCTCCCTGTGGCTTCCTCTCACATAATTATACATGGCTATCATATCTCCTCTCAGCCTTCTCTTCTTCAGGCTAAACATGCCCAGCTCTTTAAGCCGCTCCTCATAGGGCTTGTTCTCCAGACCCTTGATCATTTGAGTCGCCCTCCTCTGGACACATTCCAGCTTGTCTATATTGTTCTTGAATTGTGGTGCCCAGAAGTGGATACAACATTCCAGATGTGGTCTCACCAAAGCAGAATAGAGGGGTAGCATTACTTCCTTAGATCTAGACACTATGCTCCTATTGATGCAGGCCAAAATCCCATTGGCTTTTTTTGCCGCCACATCACATTGTTAATGTGAATTGGCCAAATTTACACAGGGAAATGGCCTTCTTCAAGTGGGATAAATGAACTTGCCATCAGGAAAACATCTACTAAGAGATTTGCTCTTATGCAACTACTTCTATTCCCGGGAAGTATGATGTTGCTGATAATTAAGAATAAATATTCAAAATCACACATTGCCGAAAGAAATACTCACAGTTTTGGTTTGTGGTTTTTCTCCCTGTTCCATCATGAATCTAGCTCCTTCCACAGAGGAGATTCTACTACCAGACCTGCAGATGGTAGAATCGGGGCTGCTTCTGTATAAACATGTGTTTTTCTTAGGGGTCAACTGTAATGCAGAATCTGAAAATCCTATCACCATAGAACCTTCTTTTAGAGCCTGCAAAAGAAGAAGGAGGCAATAAGAAGGATAGATACACCCAAGCTTTGCTCAACACAAGAAAGAAAAGTTATTTTAATGATGTTGGTCACAATGAAGTAAACTTTTAAAAGCAAACTTTCCTTTAAGAGATGGGGTAGCTTGCCCAGTTAGCCACAATAACTTCTTATTTACAATGAATTTCTAATTCTGATAGCAAATTGTTTTTTGTTTTTTTGTTTTTTTTGAGAAAAGTGAGATGGGAAAAGAAAAGTTATTCTGAGAAATGTTTACCAGGCTGTAGTGAAAATGATCTCACAAGGCCCCAATGGAAAGCTTTGCATTGGAGGTTGAAAAGTGTAACAAGTAGAGAAGGCCAGCTTTATATTTCTAAATGGTGGAACCAAATATTCAGAAACATTGCCTTACTGCTTCATAGGACTTCTGCAGCTGCTGCTTTCTCCGCATTTTAACACATTGGTTCACCCTGCGTTTCACTTCTTCCTGAAAACGTTTTAGCATCCACTCTTTTTCTTTTTGTTGCTCCTTGTATTCTTCTTCAACTTGAGCTGCTATAGACTAAAAAAGTGTACATTTTGTTTTAGGGCATTGAATTGTTCCTGTATGTAAAGTCAGCTTGACTCCCCTCCGGGATGAGAAAGGTGGGGTAGAAATGTCGCAAATAAATTTGCTAGTGAGCACAATTCAAAGTGCTGGCTTTAGCCCATAAAACCCTAATCGATTCCAGCCCAGCTTACCTGTCCGAACGTATCTCATCCTATGAACCATCGTCTGGGGAGGCCCTGCTCTCGATCCTGCCTGCCTCGCAAGTGCGACTGACAGAGACGAAGGACCAGTCTTCTCAGTGGTGGCCCCCCGGCTATGGAACTCCCTCCCCAGGGATATTAGATCGGCCCACTCCCTCCTCACTTTCCAAAAAAAGTAAAGACCTGGCTCTTTGAGCAAGCTTGTGAGAATGCAGTGGAATAGATAACATGGAAATATGTATGATGAACCAACCCAGGCTTAAAAGAAGGCAATGACAAATCCCCTCTGAACAAATGTGATAGGTTTGTCTTCAGATCCCCGTAAGGAAAATGCAGGCAACAACAATGGGCTTCTTTCCTTCCTGAAAACTCACCACAGACTGGCAGCTGATGCCTTGTAGACTAACACTAACCCAGGGATTGCACAAAGACACCAGCCAGTGGATGAGACTGAGTAAACTTGATGGCTCAGTAGAAAAAAAACTCCTTAGTTGATGTATGACTAAAGTAGAGAGTAGAAACATTCTCTTCTTAGTACTTACAAAAGCTGGACTCTCCTCCTGCTCTGCATCGTCTTGGGTACTCTCCACCCAAGCTCCGACAGGAGTTACCTGCTGGTTCCTCTCTGCCAACACATTCCAGTTTACTACTGCTGACTGCGGTCTCCTTTTCACCTTAGTTGTTCTCTGCAGCTCCTTCTTGGGTGGTAACATCTCTGCAACAGGCAACGTTCTGAAAGGAACCTCTGCTGAACTACAGGAAAAGAAAAGAAGCAGTAGGACACAACCTTCCTTTATTCCTGCTTCATTTAGCAGAGGAATACAGGGAGATGTTCACTGATGAGATCTGACCTTGCCCCCATCTACAGTGCCATATAATCCAGTTTCTGAATCTAGATTATATGCTTTGAACTGGATTATATGGCAGTGTGGATCCAGCCCTTGACTATTATTTTGCTGTTTACATCATAGAGGCATCCATCCGAGAATGCTCTAGGCAATTTACAGCTAAATTGTAAAAGATAAAATACATACATACAAAAATTAAAATTAACAGAGATCGAATGCTCTAGTAAAAAGCCAGGTCTTAAGTGCTTGAGTAAAAGGCCCTAAGTCACGCATGGCTCTCATGTAGGGCGGCAAGGAATTCCACAAGGCAGGGGCAGAAATAGAAAAAGCCCTGCGTCTGGTCCTTTCCAAGTGCACTTCTCTAGGACCCGGTATATGGAGTAAGTCACGTTGGGCTGGTCGTTGCGACCTCCGATGATGGGAGAAGGAGAGGCGGTCCCTAAGGTATGATGGACCCTGGCCATAAAGAGTTTTAAAGGTCAGAACTAGCATCTTATACAGGCCACGGTACTCAGTTGGAAGCCAATGTAAATGTTGCAGCACTGGTGTTATATGGCATTTCATGGGCGTTCTTGTGAGTAACCTGGCTGCCGCATTCTGAACAATACGGAGCTTTCGGGTCGTAGACATCGGAAGGCCAACATACAGGGCGTTGCAATAGTCCAGCCTAGACGTGACCGTGGCATGGATGACAGTTGCCAGAGCCTCGTCAGATAGGTAGGGTGCCAGTTGCCTCACTTGTCGTAGATGGAAAAAGGCCTGTTTGCTGGCAGCAGCGACCTGAGCTTCCATTGTCAGCTGTGAATCCAGGACGACACCTAAGCTCTTAACAGTGGTCAATGGAGATAGGGTGGCGCCATTGAAGGTGGGTAATGGAGGAGTCAGATCTGCCGGGCGGCCACGCCAGAGAATCTCAGTCTTCTCCGGGTTCACCTTCAGTCTGCTAGCATGTAGCCAGTTTGACAGAGCTTCCAGACATAGGGTGAAATTGTCTGGAATTGACGTTGCTCCAGGCTCCAGACGCAGAAGGAGTTGGGTATCAACCGCATATTGGTAGCAGTCCTTAATAAAGAACATTGTTGAACCTTTAAGCAATCTAAAGACTCGGTGTTTTAAGGGAATCCAAAGGCCTTTAATCTGAGGCAGCCCCGGCGTCCCATTGGGCATACAGAATTTATGTCCTCCTATCTACAGTCTGATGTACAGGTCCAGCGTGCGACAGCACAATAATGTAATTTTAAGAAGCTCATGTAAATCCTATTGGAATGCATTTAATGCCAGCCGCTTTGGGCCTCCTCGTAGAGAGAGAAAACGGATTGTAAATAAACGTAATAATAAACACAATAATAATAATAATAATAATAATAATAATAATAATAATAATAATAATGGCACCTCTTTAAAAGCGTAATAAGGTCTTTACCGGGAAAATGAGGGAGAGAAGGGCTCCAACAGTCCCTCTGTGGCCAACGAATCCCTTCCAGCCCGAGTTTCCTCCCTTTCCTTGAGAAAACCGGAAGAAAGGCCCAAAGGCCTAACTCTGTAGCCATGGCAACCGCGGATACCTGTCTCACTTGAGGCCTAGCGCACGCGATGGGCAGCGTAGCCATGGCAACCCATCCAGGCCTCGTCCCCGATTGGCCCAGACGGCACGCGAAGGAGCCAATCCCTTCCCACGTCTCGTTTCCAACCGCCTTTTTTGAAATCCCGCGCGGCTTCTCCTTTCTTAGAGCAGGCAGCCAATCCAGGCGAGGAAACGCAATGACGTCACGAATCGCGCCCCTTCCCTTGAGGGCGTTTGTCACGGCTTACTCTCAACGCATGGCCACACCCCTCGAACTCTCCGCCGACCAATCGGACGTCTTGGTGTGACAGAAGGCGGGATCTGGCGCAGTCTTTGTCTTAGAATTCTCAGTACATTTCGTTATGGAGGTCCCTTTGCCGCCCCCAACGGACACATCAGGAATTGCACCCTCTGATATTCATTAAAGCTGCAGAGGGCTCCAAATGTACGCTCCTTTGCCGCCACCCAGTGGCCAAAACGGGAAACCGCAGCCCTTTATTATAATTCCCCATCTTCATTTCATAGAATCATAGAATCAAAGAGTTGGAAGAGACCTCATGGGCCATCCAGTCCAACCCCCTGCCAAGAAGCAGGAATATTGCATTCAAATCACCCCTGACAGATGGCCATCCAGGCTCTGTTTAAAAGCTTCCAAAGAAGGAGCCTCCACCACACTCCGGGCAGAGAGTTCCACTGCTGAACGGCTCTCACAGTCAGGAAGTTCTTCCTCATGTTCAGATGGAATCTCCTCTCTTGTAGTTTGAAGCCATTGTTCCGCGTCCTAGTCTCCAGGGAAGCATAAAACAAGCTTGCTCCCTCCTCCCTGTGGCTTCCTCTCACATATTTATACATGGCTATCATATCTCCTCTCAGCCTTCTCTTCTTCAGGCTAAACATGCCCAGCTCCGTTAAGCCGCTCCTCATAGGGCTTGTTCTCCAGACCCTTGATCATTTTAGTCGCCCTCCTCTGGACACATTCCAGCTTGTCAATACTCTCTTGAATTGTGGTGCCCAGAATTGGACACAATATCCCAGGTGTGTAGGTCGAAGCAGCTGCGGCATGATCATCACGTTTGCAGACGGGACCAAATTGGGAGGGATAGCCAATACTCCAGAGGACAGGAGCAGGATTCAAAATGATCTATATATAATGTCATGTAATATAATATATTGTATATACATATAATATTTATAATATTATAATGTAATGCAATATAATACAAACAATATGATGTAATTTATATATTTATATTACATGTAATGTTACTAATAATATTACAATATATAATTGTATACTACAATATAGTAATATTTAATGCTGATATTGTACTATGCTAATAATATAATATATTGTATGTGTGTGTATGTATGTGTATGTGTGTATGTATGTGTGTGTGTGTGTGTGTGTGTGTATATATATATATATAGAGAGAGAGAGAGAGAGAAAGTAAACCACTCTGAGTGCCCTTCGGGGTGAGAAGGGCGGCATATAAATGTTGTAAATAAATAAATAAATAAATAAATAGTTTAGATTTTAAATGGTATTGAAAGGCTTTTAGGCCATTCTGATTTGCGTGTGGTAGAGGCTCCTTCTTTGGAGGCTTTTAAACAGAGGCTGGATGGCCATCTGTTGGGAGTGCTTTGAATGCAATTTTCCTGCATCTTGGCAAGGGGTTGGACTGAATGGCCCATGAGGTCTCTTCCAACTCATTATTCTATGATTCCTCAAAGATTCCTCTGTAGAACAAGCCCTATGAGGAGCGGCTTAAAGAGCTAGGCATGTTTAGCTTGCAGAAGAGAAGGCTGAGAGGAGACATAATGAGGGCCAAGTATAAATATGTGAGAGGAATAATAACATAATAATAAAAACTTTATTTATAACCCGCCTCCATCTCTCCAAGGGACTCGGAGCGGCTTACATGAGGCCAAGCCCAACAACACATCAATAACAAGAAAGCAATAAACAAAAAAGAACAACAATACAATTAAATAAATCACATATAAACATTAACATACAAGGATTTAAAACCTATGGCCGGGCCAGATGTAATAGTTAAAAATTAAAAAATAACACTGCTCATTAACAGGTGGGATATATGTATTGTCGAAGGCTTTCATGGCCGGAATCACTGGGTTGTTATAGGTTTTTTTGGGCTATATGGCCATGGTCTAGAGCAGGGGTCCTCAAACTTTTTAAACCGGGGGCCAGTTCACTGTCCCTCAGACCGTTGGAGGGCTGGACTATATTTTTTAAAAAATCAATTAAAAAATTCCTATGCACATTGCACATATCTTATTTTGCTGTGTGGAAGGGCCCTTAGAGGGGGTTCTTTCTAGCCCTCTTTAGGCAGTAATTCCAGGAGCAGAGAATGGGAAATCTTCCTATTTCTAGTCTGAACAAAATCTGGCTACCAGTATTAAAAAAAAACTCTAAAATTATAACTGTAAATAAAGAACAACACTCAAACACAGGGGAACTCCAGACAAGAAACAATCAGGGCCAGCTAATCACCTCTCAACAAAGGATTCCCTAAAAACTGTCAGGCTATGAAATGGTAATCAAGGTGGCCAATTGAAACATTCATACCTACCTCCAACAGACAAGAGTTCTTTCTCCCAGCCTGGATCTTCCACAATTTTCCTGGTTAAAGGTTTTCCTCTGACATGAAGTCCAGTCGTGTCTGACTCTGGGGTGTGGTGCTCATCTGCATTTCTAAGTCGAAGAGCCGGTGTTGTCCGTAGACACCTCCAAGGTCATGTGGCCGGCATGACTGCATGGAGTACCGGGGCAGCCTCCCTTGGCTGGCTCACGCTGCCCATTGGGCCCGCGAGGTGCTTTACGTGAGGTGCTTTACACGCGAGTAGGCCACGTGGAGCAGCTGCCCTTGGCTGGCTCACGCTGCCCATCGGGCCTGACGGATAGCGTGAGCCAGCCAAGGGAGGGGCACTGTGTGGGGGGGGGCGCTTCCTCCTCCGCGGGCCGGATAAGTGCCCTTGGCAGTCCGAAAGTGGCCCACGGGCCGTAGTTTGAGGACCCCTGGTCTAGAGGCATTCTCTCCTAGAGGAGAGAATGCCTCTAGACCATGGCCATATAGCCCGAAAAAACCTAAAACAACCCAGGTAGGATATATCCAGAGGCGGCCCTAGTAGGCCACGTGGAGCAGCTGCCCTTGACTGGCTCATGCTGCCCATCAGGCCCAATGGGCAGCATGAGCCTGCCAAGGGAGGAGCAGCCCCGCACGGCCTACTCGCTGATGGGTTTTGAGAGGAAGTGGCTTAGCCATTTTGGAGTTGTAGGTACTGGGATTTATAGTTCACCTGCAATCAGTGAGCACTCTGAACTCCACCAAAGATGGAATTGGATCAAACTTGGCAAACAGAGCCCCCATGACCATCAGAAAAAAATACTAGTGGTCTTTGGGAAAATTCACCTTGATTTGGGGGAGTTGTAGTTCACCTACATCCAGAGAGCACTGTGAACTGAAACACTGATGGATCTGGACCAAACTTGGCACACATACCTGATATGCCAACATTTGAGTGATGAAGGCATGATGAAAATACATGATACACATATTGGAAAATATATATTTGATGTAACCATATTAGAAATAGGAATTAGAAAATATACAGGATGTATGTATGCATGAACTTCACTTCACTTGGCTTCTTAAAAAGCTGCAAAATTAGATGCCTCAAGAGAGGCTGGGGTCTAGGAAAGGAATGTCAAGAGACCTCTGGCAAATTTCAAGAGACTCTTTCCATTTTGGTACTAGGCGAAGCTTATCGTAAGATTAATGAGCTGGCCATCGAGAGGCTTCAAGAAGAACTTATTTCAAGATGGATGGAAGCTCTTGCTATCAGTAGCCTAGTAGACACTCTGGCACAATGGTCCTCATTAATAGCAGCTCCTTAGATAAAGATGCTTAAATGAAGATTGACAGGTGTTGAAGTTAAAATATGCCATTGAAGTCAATGTAAAAGTAGAATTTTGTGACGCACATTGTGATGCCTGTATGATGCATGCATATTATTTTAAAGGGTATATAAACCAAGGCGTTTCTTTGTTCGGTACTCTGTTTCTGGACTACCAGCAGGGTCCATATCCGGTTGGCGCCAATCGAGAATAAACCATGCTTTTGCAGACCTCAGGAACTCTCTTTGTCTCTTTTCCTCAAACCTTCTCCCTGCCATTTCATGAGTACTGGAGGGGTTTGAGGGGAACTGACTTTCCTTGCTGGGAGTTGTAGTTCGCTCACAACCAGAGAAACTGCAATCCACCAGTGATGGGCCTGGTCCAAATTTGGCACACAGGACCCCCATGACTAACTCAACCTACTGGAGGAGTTTGAGGGGACTGACTCATCATGGTGGGAGTTGTAGTTCACCTACAACCAGACAGCACTGTGAACCGAAACACCGATGGATCTGGACCAGACTTGGCACACATACCTGATATGCCAACATTTGATTACTGGAGGGGTTTGAGGGGAACTGACTTTCCTTGCTGGGAGTTGTAGTTTGCCCACAACCAGAGAAACTGAGATCCACCGATGATGGACCTGGTCCAAACTTGGCACACAGAACCCCCATGACTAACTCAACCTACTGGAGAGGTTTGAGGGGACTGACTCACCATGGTGGGAACTGTAGTTTACCCTGCAGCCAGAGAGCACACTGAACCCCACCAATGATGCATCTAGAGCACACTTTCCCAACATGAGAAATTTCAACCACTGCTGGAGTTTCAGTGGGTTAACCTGGCATGATGTGAGTTGTAGTTCATGTACAACCTTATGCATTTTGGTTGACTTTTTCAAATAATCTAGGCAACGCCGGGTATCCAAGCTAGTACTTAATAACAACAATAATTGAAAATAATCAAAGTCTTCCAGCGTTCAAGAAAACGTCAGCTTCTCTAATGGAAAACAAAGCTTTTACTTGTGAGTCTGCAGGAAATTCTCAGGGAAGAGAAAAAGCTTGCCAAGCCCCTTCCCAAAGGCTTCACAAGAATGGATCAAAACACATCTAAATTGTGCTCAGGAAGCTTCAAAGACCTCGGCCCGCTCTTAAAAATCCAATAATAAGAGCTTTTACTGTCAAGCTTTTGGAAGGAAGGCAATACAACCAGTTGATAAGAAATTAAGGGTATTTAGGGCATTTCAACAATGCACTCTGCCACGGCTGTAATTGCCTGGTAAGAGAACAACTGGAACTTTTGACTGTAAATATTGGATTTTATGAACGGCAACTGTAAAAGCACTGAGCTTGTTTCAGCTATTGGCGCTGCCTAGTAAACCGTGTCTTATTCAGAAGGTCCAGGAGGACAACAAAAGCAAACTAATTGGCACTTCAAGTCTGGAATGCTGGCCTAGTTAGGCGGGTGAAGGAGGGACAGGACGGGGCCGGAGGGCTAGGATCCAAAGCAGGAAGGCTCTGCAAAAGTGGAAAGGGAGTAGTGTCAAGGGAAGGAATCACTAATTTGATGAAACAGGTTTGGGATTGTCTACTATTCCAATGGACTTTAAATCTGGAGTTGGCAGATGCCCAGTCAATTCTAATAGCATCTCAAGTAGAGTATGGCTAGGGCCGTCTTTGGATGCATCTACACCAGGCATGGGCCAACTTGGGCCCTCCAGGTGTTTTGGACTTCAACTCCCACCATTCCTAACAGCCCCAGGCCCTTTCCTTTTCCCTCAGCCGCTTAAGCGCTGAGGGGGAAAAGGAAGGGGCCTGAGGCTGTTAGGAATGGTGGGAGTTGAAGTCCAAAACACCTGGAGGGCCCAAGTTGGCCCATGCCCAATCTACACTGCAGAATGAATTCAGTTTGACATCACTTTAACTGCCATGGTTCAATGCTACGGACTCGTGGGAGCTGTAATTTTAGTGAGGGAGCAAGCACTCTTTTGCTGAGGCTAATAATAATAATAATAAGAAGAAGAAGAAGAAGAAGAAGTTCCTTGAGAAGATTGAAGGAAAAGTTGTGCAAGGAAGCTGATGAAACCATGGACCATCTCCTCAGCTGTTGCAAGAAAATCGCACAGATGGACTACAAACAAAGACACAACTCTGTGGCCCAGATGATTCACTGGAACTTATGTCACAAGTACCACCTGCCAGCAGTAAAGAATTGGTGGGATCATAACCCGCAAAGGTCGTGGAAAATGAACATGCAAAAATACTGTGGGACTTTCGAATCCAGACTGAGAAAGTTTGGAACACAATACACCAGACATCACGATTGTGGAAAAGAAAAATGTCTGGATTATTGATGTTGCCGTACCAGGTGACAGCCGCACTGAGGAAAAACAACAGGAAAAACTCAGCCGCTATCAAGACCTCAAAATTGAACTTCAAAGGCTCTGGCATAAACCAGTCCAGGTGGTCCAGTAGTCATTGGCGCACTGGGTGCTGTGCCAAAAGATCTCATCCGGCCTTTGGAAACAATAAACATTGACAAAATCACGATCTGTCAATTGCAAAAGGCCACCTTACTTGGATCTGCACGCATCATTCGAAAATACATCACACGGTCCTAGACGCTTGGGAAGTGTTTAACTTGTGATTTTGTGATACGAAATCCAGCATATAGATCTTGTTTGCTGTGACATACTGTGTTTTTGTGTCAATATTAATAATGATAATAATCCTCAGTTGCTGCAAGAAGATTGCGCAGACAGACTATAAGCAGAGGCATAACACCATTGCTCAGATGATTCATTGGAGCACAACACTCCTGACCTCACGGTCTCACACTGGATGGCATATGTTCTGTATCAGAAACTAGAGCTAATGTGGTCTATCCAGTGCAATTTTCTGAATCAGCACCCCAAATAACCAAACCAAATCTAAAGTTGACCAAAAACTGATTCGTAATCCTTTAGTATTAATGTTGGAGAATGGTCCCTGGTCAAAGTGGTCCCTGGTCAATAAAAGATTGGGAACCACAGCTTTGGAGGAAAGGAAGAACACACAAGTATAGGACGAAAAAAGTCTTGTTAAACATCCTTTGTTGGGATGTTTATTATGAAACCACACACACTGTGATTCTACATCCTCTCCAGAAATCTCCTTTCCTCCCAATGCTGTGACAACAGAAGCAATGTTGCCCTTGAGCAGTAAAAACCCAGGAAGCGAACTAGAAGCCAGAACTGCCGCTGTAAAGAACAGAACTTCTTTTCAAGGCCCGGAAATGGAGGAAGGCTCCCATAACTCCTTGCACTTGCTTGGCAGATCACAAAGTTTGGGGAATTGTGGGTACGATGTGGCAGGCATCAATCTCCCTAGGAACTGTGGGAGAGGCTTCAAAGAAGTCATCTGGAATTGAGAGCTGCCTCATCCAAGGAGTGTCGAACCAGACCTTTGCTGCAAGGTTGCCTTGGGAAGTTTGGAAATATTGCCGTTTCTTCAAGGGCGGTGATCTAATCCTTTGACACAGGACTCAAGGCTCATGAAGCCAGAAAACATCAGGTCTGAGCGAAAGAGAGGAGGAAAACAAAGCTTAACAACCCTCAACAACAACACACAGAGCTCTGTCTATTGAAAGAGGACTTGGCAGAGATCGGTGGTGGCGGAACCACTCCAAGCGGCACGAAGGGACGTGCCCCGGGTGGACAAATCATGCTAATTGTGTGCGAGAAGGATCTAAAACTAAACCCAAAATGAAGAGAGAAAGGGAAGTCTTGTCCAGAGTTCTCAGCATCCCGGGTTTTGTGCACATCGCTTGCCTTCTTATACTCTACTATACAGGTAGGAAATGCCAACTCTTTGAAGCATTTGGGGCTTGGAAGAGAGACACTTTGCAAAAGGATGAGGGTTTGCTTTGGGTGCTGAATGCCTAGCTGTGAGCTGCCTATTTCCTAGGCAAAGAGGTGAGACTCATTTGAGCGATGACCCCAAATACCTTCTGTATCCCTTTTCACATAACAGGGTTTCTCTGGCACTGGAGAGGAAAGACTTCTACGGCATTTCAGTGTAGCGAGAAAATACTTAGCTGAGCTGTAGGTTATTGATCGGTGTGCCTCCGAAATCCCAGGAGCCCTTTAAACCTTGTGCTTTTTGAGTGCTTGCTTTGTTCTGCTCTGCTAAGTTCTTAAAACAAGGCACAGGTTAATCCAACATCTTTGTGGTGAGAGAAGTGCAGCCAGAACAGAGAGGCGCATCATTGCTTTATAGCAGTGGTTCTCAACTTTCCTAATGTTGCAACCCCTTAATGCAGTTCCTCATGTTGTGGTGACCCCCCAACCACAACATTATTTTGGTTGCGACTTCATAACTGTAATTTTGCTAAAGTTATGAATCATAATGTAAATAATTATAATAATAATCTTTATTTATACCCCGCCACCATCTCCCCAACGGGGATTCGGAGCGGCTTACATGGGGCCAAGCCCGAACAACAAACAACAATATAAGAATACAAATTGCAGTAAAATAATCAACATAACATTAAGGTATAAAACATCAAAACATAATGACATATCTGATATGTAAGATGTATTTTCATTCACTGGACCAAATTTGGCACAAATACCCAATACACCCAAATGTGAATACTGGTTGGGTTGGGGGGGGGGGGGGGGGGGGGGGGGGGGGAAGGGATTGATTTTGTCATTTGGGAGTTGTAGTTGCTGGGATTTATGGTTCACTTACAATCAAAGAGCATTCTGAACTCCACCAACGATGCAATTGAACCAGACTTGGCACACATAACTCTCATGACCAACAGAAAATACTGGAAGGGTTTGGTGGGCTGGGCATTGACCTTGAGTTTGGAAGCTGTAGTTCACCTACATCCAGAGAGCACTGTGAACTCAAACAATGATGTATCTGTACCAAACTTGGCACGAATATTCTATATGTCCAAATGAGAACACTGGTGGAGTTTGGGGGAAATAGAGTTGTAGTTGCTGGAATTTATAATTCATCTGCAATCGAGCATTCTGAAGCCCACCAATAATACAATTTGGCCAAACTTCCCACACAGAACCCCCATGACCAGGCATGTAGCGGGGGGGGGGGGGGCTTGAGGGGCTTCAGCCCCCCCCCCCCCGAAATTCTCATGCTGGTTCGCGAAAAGGCCTTACTGGTGCATTATTTAAACTGTTATGTTTATTCATATCATGATCTGATCACCATACTCAATATATCCCATATGCATGGGGGTATTGGGGTAATGATACAAAAGGTTTGCTAGGCTAGACCCTCTTTCACTCAGACTCACCCCCCCTGAAACTCAGCCCCCCGAAACCCCCCCTGAAAAAAATTAGGCCCCCCGAAACGAAATCCTGGCTATGGGCCTGCCCATGACTAATACAATATAATGTGTTTTCCGGTGGTCTTTGGTGACCCCTTTGACATGCCCTTGCGACTCCCCCCCCCTCCCCGGGGTCCCTACCTCCCAGGTTGAGAAACACTGTTTTTATAGAAAAGTATTGAGATGCTTAGCAGGTCAGTAAAAGAGCCTGTGCTAAAACAGATCTGAAAGCAATCTTGCTATTTTAAACCATTGCTTTAGAACAGGCATGGGCAAACTTTGGCCCTCCAGGTGTTTTGGACTTCAACTCCCACAATTCCTAACTTTGGCCCCTGTAGAGCCAAAGTTTGCCCATATCTGCTTTAGAAATACACACATTCCACACTGCATCAAAAGGAAAACAAATAGGTAGAACTGGTGTGTAATAACAGTCAAGAGATTGTCTTGGGACTCAAGAAGTCCAGAGTTCAAATTTGGACATTGCAATGAATTTCTTAACTTCATCATCCCATACATATTCTTTTTCTGTCCACAATATAGGAGCAATCACAGCTGTTTTATGGGGTTACTATAAAGATAAAGAAAAACAATATGTATAAAGTATTTTAATTCTCCAAGGCTGCATACATCAGCTAATTTCTAAATGTCTGATCCTAAATTAGTTATGGGAGTCATTGAAAACAGTGGATTTTGTTGCATTTACTATCCATTCAATTTAATCCCATGCATACTTGCTTAGAAGAGGATGTCAAAAGTTTGTTTTGGGGTTAAGCATACTCCAGGTAAACATGCATGAGTTACATGTTTGGGCTATAATCTTGTATGCAGATTGAATTCAGTGGAACATTCATTTAAGGAGACACATATAGGATGCTACACTTCTTACTTGTTCCTGTTATGTAACGTATCTCATTAAATCTGTAAGTGATGGTGTGCCAGTTGCAGCCTGCCGAGTGAAAACATCCTGCTGCATCTGAGACTTTTCAGTTCTGTGAAACTGGATGAATACCAGTACTTTAATATTCTCTGTAATGTGTTCAGGGTTGGGATGCAAGGTGTGCTGCATTTTCCTCATTACGGTAGTGTTTCTCAACCTTCCTAGTGCCGCAACCCCTGAATACAGTTCCTCATGTTGTGGTTACCCACCCAACCATAAAAATATTTTTGTTGCTACTTCATAACTGTAATTTTGCTACTATTATGAATTGTAATGTAAATATCTGATATGCAGGATGTATTTTTATTCACTGGACCAAATTTGGCACAAATACTCGATACTGGTGGGGTTGGGGTGGGGGTGTACTTGATTTTGTCATTTGGGAGTTGTAGTTGCTGGGATTTATAGTTAACCTACAATCAAAGAGCATTCTAGAATTGAACCAAACTTGGCACACAGAACTCCAATGAACAACAGATAATACTGGAAGGGTTTGGTGGGCATGGACCTTGAGTTTTGGAGTTGTAGTTCACCTACATCCAGAGAGCACTGTGGACTCAAACAATGATGACTCTGGACCAAACTTGGCACGGATACTCAATATGCCCAAATGTGAATACTGGTGGAGTTTGGGGAAAATAGGTCCTTGACATTTGTAGTTGCTGGAGTTTATAGTTCATCTACAATCAAAGAGCATTCTGAACCTCACGAATGATAGAATTGGGCCAAACTTCCCACACAGAACCCCCATGACCAATAGAAAATACTGTGTTTTCTTGATGGTCTTTTGCGACCCCTCTGATGCTCCCTCATGACCCCTCTCCAGGGGTCCTGACCCCCAGGTTGACATTGCTTATTGTTAGCTTCACTTGAGTTAGAAAGGTTACTCTCAGGTTGTAGATTGCCACCATTATGATTTATCATTTTTTGCTGCCATATAAAAGTTTTTCCATTGTGCCTCGATTTATGTCATTAGATATAACCACTCCCCATGTATTTCACATAGACTGGATTCTCCAACTATGTCTGTTTGTATATGGATTGCCTCTTGGTGCATGCAAAGTATCAATAATGGGTTTAGTTTGTACCTAATAGTGAATCAAATTGCCTAATATATTACACAACTTTTTGTTTTGTTTTGACAGTAGTGAAAATGGCATGGCCTGGGTGCTAGAAATACAAAACAAATAAACAAAATTGTTATATTTATTTATCATGTCAAAAGCAAATTGAGAGTACAGTTAAAATGCATTTAAAACACAAACAAAGTTCAAAACTTTATATTCAGCTAAATTTCCTTTGGCCAGAAGCTGTTCACTTGGGGTGCCTCTGGTGTCACTGTGAGAAGTTCCTCCATTGTGCTTGCGGCAGGGCTCAGGCTGCATTGTAGTAGGTGGTCTGTAGTTTGCTCTCCTCCACACTCACATGTTGTGGACTCCACTTTGCCTATTTCTTAAGATTGGCTCTGCATCTCGTGGTGCCAGAGCACGGTCTGTTCAGCGCCTACCAGTTACCCAGTCTTCTGTGTACCAGGAGGGAGTTTCTCATCTGGCCTCAGCCACTGATTGAGGTTCCAGGTTTTAGCCTGCCACTTTTGGGCTCTCGCTTGCCGAGTTATTCCTGCAAGTATCTCTCTCAATATTAGGAAGCTGTTTCTTGATTTAAGGCATTGGCATGCTGGCTGATATCTGAACAGAGGATGGGCTGAAGATGTGAATGCTTTGGATTGGCCAGGGTGGTCCATGCCTTAGTCACCTCCAGATTGGACTACTGTAACCTGGCCAGGGTGAATCCATGCCCTAGTCACCTCCAGATTGGACTACTGTAATACACTCTACGTGGGACTACCCTTGAAAACAGCCCGGAAATTTCAACTGGTTCAACGAGCGGCGGCCAGATTGTTAACTGGAGCTCCTTACAGGGAGCGGTCAACCCTTCTGTTAAGGAGCTCCATTGGCTGCCATTCATTTACCGGTCCCAATTCAAGGTGCAGGTGCTTACCTACAAAGCCCTAAACAGTTTGGGACCCGCCTACCTGCGTGACCGCATCTCTGTGTACGAACCCACACGATCTCTTCAATCATCTGGAGAGGCCCTGCTCATGCTCCCACCACCATCGCAAGTGCAATTGGTGGAGATGAAGGAGAGAGCCTTTTCGGTGGTGGCCCCTCGACTCTGGAACTCACTCCCCAAGGACATTAGGCAAGCCCCAATTCTGGCAGTCTTTAGGAGGAGCCTGAAAACATGGTTGTTTCAGTGTAACATCCCAGAATAAGGAAACTCCCAGCAATATGTCCCTAAACGCTCTTTATTAGTGATCTAAGATTGTCTGCACATTTCATCCCTCTCCAAAACTTCTACCCCAGTTACATGTCACTTTGTCATGCCCAGCATTATTTTTTTAAAAAATGTTAATTATTACATTTGGCCCAGCCATAGGTTTTTAAATGTGTTGTGTTATTGTTAATGTTTATTGCTTATTTTTGCTTATGAGTTTATTTATTTTGTATTATTGTTGTTATTGTTTATTGTTGTATTGTGGGCTCAGCCTCATGT